GATTTGGAATTTCTATTTCTTCACGATCTTATTTTCCATAGTTTTTATTCTATTGAAGATTGAAGTAGATTAATTATTTTACTATATCTATGTTAAGTTCAAATGTTGCAATTTTTAAACAAAAACAAATACCTAAGAAAAAAATTATTGAGCCTCAAGAAAACTCAAATTTTTTTAATGTCACAAAAAACATATTAATGATCGTTCTTGAAAAAGTTTTTATCACTTCTTTGCTTTTATGTCTCTATCCTTCAACATGCTTTTATTAAATGTTTATTTCATCAGCGTGATTTTTCGAAAGTGATCCATTTTTATAATGCGCTCAAGTAGATTATATATATATATATATATGTTTAATGAATAATATTTGTATAAAATATACAACCAATAATTTGATTAATAATCCATGCTTTTATAATTATTGTGTCATTATTGTTGATAATTAACCAAATAATTATATTTAGCGATATACATAATTCTGGGTTAATTTATGATTAGGTTGAAAGCATAAAACAATATAGGATTGAAATTACAATATTTAACATGTATCGATATTATCCACTCATATTACCTATAAGATGATCCCGCGTATAAGTTTGCCTGCACCTTTTTTTATCTCAGTAACTAACAGAGATGGATTTAATAAATATAATATTAAAAATTAAACAATTCTAATTAAATTCTATTATAAGTGATCCTTTAGAAAAATTATCTACGTTACACAATAAAAAAAATTGTATTTGTATTGAAAATGGTCCATTTACGTTTTTGTTTTTAACAGTTTGTTAAATTTTTTAACTTCAGATGTTAACATAATATGATTATGTTATTTAAAGATTTTGTGTTAAATTTATATTTAAATTAATTGATAGTTAAATTGATATGTATCTAAGATGAATGAATAAAATGTAAATTAATTTAACATATAAAGGTTAATTTTACTGAAAAAAATATCTCCACGGTTTGTTTATAAATTGTGTCGATATTATCTCTTTTTTTTTTTTATATTTATTCTCTTATATAATTCTCTTATATAATTCTCTTATATAATTTTGTGTAACTTTCTAATATATTCATCTTGTGTTAACTCAAAAATTTGAATGAACCGTTTGAGACGGATCGCGCGATTTATATTAAATTTGACACATTTTTTCCAACAGTGTACAAAAGTGTACCGAGTGATTTTTGCAAGATAAAGTAAATATTTTATAATAAATATTTTATAATATATAATAATGATATAATAAAAGTTGTAGCGTCCGTTCTAACGAATACAATGATGTATAATATAACAAAATTAATATAAATTTATTTTAAATACAAATTATATAAATTATTTTGGTTTAAAGCTTTGCGAATCTATTGTCTTTCCAATTTTGGAAACCACCCTGCGGTGCGGGCAATTTCTGACTCTCGAATCAGATCATCTGATCAGATTACATACAATAGAATTTAATTAGAATCGTTTAATTTGATATTACATTTATTAGATGTATCTGTTAGTTTACGAGATAAAAAGGTGTGATCTTATATAGGGATCTTGTATAAGATATTGTAGCTTCCAAATAAAAGAACAACAGAGGGAAGAATAGAGAACGAATAAGCGAACAAGAAATAGCCGTGTAAAGCATTCTTTTGTTGGAATTTTCACCATGACGTCTTACGTCAAGTTTGTAATATCATATTAACAACAATTCTGTTTCCGCTACGCGGAAATTTATACGGAAATTTATACAGAATTAAAAAAGCTTTGCGTTTTGCGGTTTATCCGTGGTTTATCTCTGTGCTTAGACCTATTATTAGAATGTCAACGTTTCATAAACATTGCAGGTCACTTCGTCAGGGCGAGGAGTAATCTGATATTGGGATCTAGACACGGAGATAATCCTTGGATTGCATAGCTTCAAAAGTACTATTACAAGATTATTTATGAGAATTATGATAAATGAATGACACTGTGTTTTTCTTCTTCTTCTTCTTCTTCTTCTTCTTTTTCAGTATAGTACAATTTAACATTGCGCAATACTGTTAATTTTTCTGACAATAAAATTGGTAACATACATAATAAATAAAATTACGTAAAATTTATTTAGTAAAATTAATTGTGTATTACAATTCATTTCCACGGTTTATACATGGATTGTAAATTCGCAAAATTTCCTATTATTGTAGCGGGCGACCTTGGCTACAACGGCATTAATCCATTCGATTCGCAATGTGCTATGCCGCATTAAATGTTTATTATTGCGGTGTTTACAGACAGTTGGTGTGCACGGGACAGCATGGGTCGCATAGTAATCGGTCATAGTATATCCATCATTTAATGATTCGCGAAGCAAGCAGCACCGTTATATGCAAAATAGAATTGTACATGTTTTGTGCAAGCTATCGACCGTGCGCACTCCTGCCCGACCTATGCAATCCAAATTCAATTACATGGCATTTCACATAATCTCCCTGTTTGATACAGATTTGATTTACAGCTTCATCTATGGCTTTATTATTTGAAAATGGATGACGATTTCACCCAAGGAAAACTCCTTGGAGTAACATAAGTATCATAAATTATAGATAGAGATATTAATGAAGATACTTACAAAGATCACTATAATTGTGTCACCAGGTGACGCGACTTTTTGTGGCTGTTGGATAACATCCCCGAAGTTGCGTCCCCATCGTGGAGTGTCGTACAGCACAGGAGGTACAAGGATGATCAAGTTACTTTGTAACAGCTCCGGAGCGGGTGGTCCTGGTGAAACAGGTTTATTCTGCAATAACAATAAAACATAATGTTCTTAACATAAATTCTGTATATGGTTAGCAGAGACGGGTAAGTTAATATTTTCTGTTAACTAAATTAAATTAAAGTTAATGATCTATAAAATTAATTTAATTACGTTAAAAGTTGCAACGAACAAAAAACTTATAACTTAATTAAAAGTGAAGTCAACATCAAATTAATAGTTAAATTAAAAATTTGAATAAGCACTTATATTAAACATTTAAACATTAAAATGTAATTTTTTTTTAATTAGGTTACTAAAAAAATAATTATCATATGGACTATCATTAAATAAATTTAATATTCCTCCCCCCCCCCATTTATAAAACGTTCATATAAAATATCAAAAATTAGTTTTTTTTTACGTATTTTAAATGGAAATGTATTGTTTAAATATAATAAATTAACCAATAATAATTAAAAATTCAAATAAGAAGAATTGCACAAAAAGTATAGATGATGATAGAGATTATTAGATAGGTATTAAATCATAAAAGAATTATATATTATTACATAATATATTAACACATTATTTAAATATGTAAAACTTTAATAAACAAAACCGTTTTTTTTTTAAATAAATTATTCTATTTGAAACTTGAGAGAAAGTCTTGTACTAGCAAAACATATCCATTACGATTTTTTTCTAATTGTCTAATTATTATTAAAAATTTAATTTACAAAGATAAAAGCTAATGAGTTAAACTTAAACTGTGTTTTACTAAACTAGTTAAAGTTAAAAATTAATTCATTTAAAATTAATTAATTATAAGTTAAGTTAAAAGTTATTAATTTTTTAATTTTATTATTTAACTCAATCATCAGTTACTATTAAAGACTAGTCATTAATTAATTAACGAGTTACTACCCAACGTTGATAGTTAGGTATCGGCGATTGATTTTGCGGTGACGTAAAATAAACGATGCGTAATTTCTGTGAAAATAATAATTGATTACTAAATGGAGAAGTATTTTCACTATGAGATCAATGCATCTTGTTAGCGGAGAAAGATCTTAATTCTGAATTTGCATATTTTGTGATTATGTAGTTGAAAATACATAGTTGAAAAAGTTTATGTTAAATTTAACACATTTCACATCTCAAACAGTTTCCATTTAATTTTTTGTATTAATTTAACACAAGATGAATATGTTAAAGAATAATAGAAATATTCAAGGAAATCGCCGATTTCGTCAAATCATTTTGTTTCTAGGTATTGTTTCTTAAACAAAAACAAAAATTACACTTTAGAAACATAAATACGTACACAAATTATATGATGTCTCCTATCAGATAATAGTAATTTTTATAGTATTGTTTACAATTTTGCAATAATTAACTTTTTCATAATATAAATAAAAATAAGTGTTTGACAAAATGGACATAATGTAGTAATGCCATATATTCCTATTCTCATTCTTTCACAAGAATCATTTATCAAAAATACTTATACATGAATACGAAAATTTCTAGATTTTTTTTCATTTCGACGTAAAATATTTTTTGTTAAGGAGAGTTCAACTTTCACTTTTTTACGACTATTTGGAGATTATTTCTGTATTTTCCTATGTACTTTTTTTGCAAGGAAATCGAGAAATAAGAATTATAATATTGAAACTATACTCAAAAATTGATACATTGAATTAAAGAATAAAATGTTTATTCACAACGTTATAAAATCTCTATGAGTTATGCCTCAATAATTTAAAAACTAATTCAGTATTTTGATACAATTCTGTAAATAAATTTAAACTGTTATTAGTTTAAATAATTGAAATACAATTGACAGCTATTTCGATATGAATAAGGATTTTATTCTTTGTAGGGATTGCAATTTTATTTTTGTAAAGATTTTATTCAATGTACCAACTTTTTTCCCTGAGTGTGTAGCTTCATTATTGTGATAATTTTCGATTTCCATGAAGAAGAATACATAAGAAAATGTAAAAATAAAACAATCTTCGAACGGTCGCAAAAAAATTGTATCCTTCTATAAAATAGTATAAAGAAGACTACAACTTTACTGTTTTGCAAAATACAAGCATAACGCGATAATTTTTGGAAGGAAGAGGGGGAGGATTTTCCCGTAAATACGTAGGAATATCTTTAGCATCGATATTTGATATAATATAGCAATAACTATAATAACGCACTATATAAAGATATAGCTAACTAAGTTTGTCTTACAGACAAGTATGCCGATTTACGCTACATCTCGACTTTATGTTTAAAATCATATTATAATAAAAATTTAAAAAAATAATACTAAAATAGATTTAAGTATACAAAACAATCTAATATTATCAATAATGTGCTCATTATAATTTAAACTATGTAATTTATAAGTGAAAATTGTAAGAATATTATTTTCACAACTGCAGAATATGTTTTTATATTATATTATGTTTTTGTTGATTTTATATAAACAATTTTATAAAAACATACAAAAATGATTTATGGATTCTTACTTTTTAATCATTTAAAGAAATCATATATATTTTAAAGTGCAATTTAATTTCCAAGAAATAAGGAAAAGTCTTTTTCTAAAACCTACGTCAGTATCTTTCCTCTATATAAAAATTAACATAAAAAATATAATTTTTTTATTGCTACAATTTAAAAGCAAATTGGAAGCATATATTTTTTCAGGCACAATTAACCTTTATAATATGTTAAATTAACATTATTCGTTTATATTTTTAAAATTTATATTTTAAAATATATTATTTTTATTTAATTACTTTCTCACAAATTGTGTTATCTTTACATTTAAAAATGTTGACTAGTAATTTAACATTAATTAAACTATTCAAATGATCCAATCATCTTATATTAAATTAATACTTGGATGTCAAAAATTTTAACAAGGATCGATTTTAACACAAGTACAAAATATTTTGTATTGTGTATATTTTATTTACTTACTTGAATAACCGCTTTTACTAACTCCTGGTACTGCTTCAAGTATATTGTAAGTGTATGCGGACCGTAAATTGTTGATGCGCCTTCATATCTTTGTATCTAAAAGTTAATATTTCAGCGACTATTATGCATTGGGGATGCGTTTCAAAAAAAGATAGATACGAGTTCAAAGAGAATTGATCGATGATTTTACGTACCATTTATCTCGCCATTTATCAAAAAACTTGTTAGAAAATGACATACATTTATGAGACCGAGAAATTTTTATATAGCGGCATGTTACAATAAGAGGGTAGTTTGAAAATTAGTTCTCGGTCTGACACAGAAATGACGCCACAGATATCAAACTGCTATAACTTTAGACAAGATTGATCCTTTACAGGGCTACTGTTAAAATTTTGAAACAGATGCATACATTAATTTCTTCATTTTGTTCATGTATATGTAAAGTAATCTGCAACTTTTGGTTCCGTCATGACAATGCATCTGCTCACATTTCTTCAATGTTGTAGTCGCAAAATTCCATTGCAATAATTCCGCAAGCACTGCATTTCACCAGATTTCGTGATTTAATGAAATATGCAATTGAAGAAATGTGAGCGGATGTATTGTCATGATGGTACCAAAAGTTGCTTGCTTCATACGAATGAAATAAAGAAACTAATAATGAACGCTATTTCTGTCAGAAATTTTAATAGTAGTCCTGTGAAGGATCAAACTTGTCTAAAATTAAAGCTTAATATTTGTGGGTCATTTCTGTGTTTGTGCATCATTTCTGTGTTAGGCTGAGAACTTATCAAACTATTCTCGTACAAATATTATACGTATTATAAATCGCGATAACTAATCCAATAGGTTCCGCTTGGAAGCCCTCAAAATGGCCCCGATTCTCGAGCGAATTGCTTAGTAACAACAATGAACAGTTTACTTGATACTCCTCAGGTGTTGTTATGTAATCGCTGTAAGTATTACAGAGTCCTGCGATTATTACGGATGTTTCGTCGTCGGATGCATCGCTCATAACTTTCCTGATAGACTCTCGCAATCTTCTTCCAGACATTGTCGTGAATTCACCGGGCACGCCAGCGATGACGACGTTTCCGATTATGGCGACTTGCGTCGAGACAATTTTCGGCTGCCATTGATAAGGGAGTTTTATCTGAAATCATTAGTCATCGTCCAACAATTCAGTGCTCGACACCGACGCCGACGTAACGATTTCAAAGTGTCCAATTACGCCATGCTGCGTATCACAGAGTACTGATACTTCCGTTTTCTGTCCATATAAGTTGATATGATTCATTACTTATATCATTATCTAAACGCGATAATTTACATTCAATTCTATTGTCGATGTTTCTTTGTAGTATCTATAGTCTATGTCTATCGTACAATATACCCTATTAATCACATACTTATTCTAATTGCATTCTAATAAAAATACAAGATGATAAAAAAGTTTGACCACAAAAAATTAAAATGACAACAAATATAATTAATACTCCAAAGTCTGTTTTTTTTTAAATATATATTGTTAATAATTTAATAAATACAAAATTTTGTGGATAATCTTTTTGTCTTCTTATGTTAACTGAATTTAACATTATAGTAGATTTGGGATCATAAAGTATACTTGGTAGAAAGATAGACTTACTCGTCCAGTGGCTAATAAAATAGGTTTCGGGCTCTGACAACGAATATCGTCTTTCGTAGGGGTGGCCAAAAAATTTCGTACGGTATTCCAAAGGGGATTCGATGTCGTTGTACCTTGCTCAAAAGCGAACGAACCAGGTCCGTCAGTAGTACCAGCTGCAAAGCTATAACCCATCGCAGGTATGCACCCGCGCACCTGTGAAAAAAAAACTCGAATAAATTCTTTATCAAGAAGCTTCAAGAATTATAGACAACAACCGTAATTTACCTTCTCAACCTTTTTCGTAGTCTCGTTATAAAATTCTGCAGATTGTTCCGGCATATTGATATATTGATGAACTACTCGCACTGGTCCAATCACTTCCATCGCTTCATTACTTTGCCATAATCTCTACGAAACAAAGGAAATCTTATATGAACAAGATAAGAAATTATATTATTTTTCTATTAAAGAATATGTTTTATTTTCTATTTTGTCATTATCAATTAAGTTAATGACTAACTGTAAACACAATTAAAATTGATACAACTAGTCTTTATAATAACAATTATGTAATTTATTATTGTATTGTTATTCATTATAATTAATTAAGTAAATTTTTTAAATATTAATTTATTTACATAGTACAATGAAAATTATTGAGCGCGCATTTAAAGAAATTTCGATGTATCTATAAGCTACTTATACGATTTACAAGTATTATGAAAAATAAAAAGTCCTCATTCATCATACATGCATTTTCAGTACGTGGAAAATGAGAAGATAAGAATTTGATATAATCGATGAAGAAGATAGATAAGAAAAGCGCAAATTCGTGTTGGGTATAAAAATTTTCTCAATAAGATTGCGATCTTCAATCTTCTCGTATAGGAAAACTAATGATGCAGAAGTATATACGAAGGTTTCGCATGTGATTTGATAACGTATAAACAAATTGATAAAGAAAGCAATTAAGATTATCGACTAAAATTGATATCTGGATATGATTGTAATCATATGTTATCATGAGAGTTAATCTAGTATCAATCATAATTATAGTTATTAGATTTCTGCGTATAGAAATATGAAAGTGAAACCTTGCACAATCCGCACAAGAAATCATAAATGATTATGCCGTTTTGTGCAATTGTTTAACTAAAATATCTTTTTCAACATGTTATTCGTATGTGTGAGATATAGCGTTCCAGAAAGTAAACGAGAAGGCAAGAAGTAAAATTTACATTACCATACTTATTATTGTATTGTATTATAATAATTATATTATCGTTTTAACACTGAATAAGTAATTTACAAATAAATATGATATACATATATATTCAATTAATTAATCTACAGTTATCTAATGAATTTTTTAACGTTTACTTTGATCATTTATTTAGATTTAGAGAAAACACAAAACTCGATTTTAAGTAAATTTGTTCTGGATTATTACAAATTTCATGAATTCTATGCTTGTACATAACAAAGAAATGAACAATACATAACGCACGCACGCGTATCTTTTAATTAAAATAGACTGTTTACGTTTATTAAAATATTCTCTTTATTTATTTAGTCATTATGTTTCATGATTTAATCATTACGATTAAAAAAGGCGATAGATATTACGAAAATGGAATAAGCAATGTGTTTAAGTATTCTTTTTTTATTTAATAAAATTATTTTTATTATTATTTTATAATTTAATAAAAAAAATGTATCTATCTAAAAACAATGCAGAGTAAAAGATATGACAAAATAATGCAGCATCAGAGCAAATGTTTCATGAAATATCTGTAACATGATATGATAACAACCATATAACAATAACAATAAATAAAATCATATACTTTTTAATGGAAATCATATTCGCTCATGCTAGCAATAATAGAAGATACAGTTTTTCAGAAAATAAGTTTAATTACATTAAATATTTTGTATAGTTAAAAGTTTGTAATATTAATTTTAAAATACAATTTTTTTTTTAAATACAACACCTGATTACAAAGAAATAAAATAATGTTCTTTTACAGAATGTTTCTACCTTTCCATTCTTTTTTGCAAGCAACTGAAAAATCGCGATTTTTTTACATCATCATTGTGTCATAATTGCAGTAAATAATCGATCGATAATTGTCGAATCGTATTTTAACACTATGCGTAAAGAAAGAAAAACTCTATCAAGGGAGCTATCGCTTCGCCTTTTTAATCAAATTTGGGAGGATATCGTACGAAAAGACAGTATATAAGAAATTAAACTAGGAGAGAAAGAAAGGATAGAGGGGGAGGGGGGGGGGGCATAAATACGGCGGAAGTCGGAGAATATTTCGACAAGTAGAAAAACATTAGTATTTCTTTGATGTAGCAATATCAGGAGGCGCGGAATGCAAGCGAGCGAGCGAGCACGCACTCACTCACAGACATATACATACAGGCTCAGCGTGAAACGCGTCGTATAACGTCCGGACAGGCCGGATAGACAACGTCTTCTATGGCTGTAGAAACTGTTTCTCGCTCTCCTTTGTGATGCTAATATCTCTTCACAAAACTGACGATAGCTCGCCGGTCGTGCCCCCGTCACGCTTAAGGAGCATGCGAATATATGTTAATTATCGCGGCAGTGAAGGCTTAGCCGCGCGTCCCTAGCTCCTGTATTACGAACTGCTGGCGGCGAAAGCACTGAAATACCGCTCTGTTCATGGCGAGCTGGACTCGCTGGATGCCCAGCATGAACGTCTGAATATATCTTTACCTGCTTTGATATACATATAACTTTGATATACATCCTGATTGCCCGTTTTTCTCCGGTAGCCGCGGTGTTAATAATTCGTTTCTGCAATGCATCGCTACGGTATATAATGTAATCCGCAATTCTCTTATTCTGCGAGCTTTAATCGCGTGATCGCTCTTTATACTTTTTTACTTCTGTCAATATTATTATGCTGAATGGTGAAGTATTCTCCACCACGCGTTCTCGCTGAGAACTGACTTGCTTGCGAATTTAATCCGCTCTTTGATTCCGACGATTTTTATTTCCCTACGCAGTTTATTTAAGGATGAAACGCAAATTTTTTTATAGTTACATATATATTCTACTGAGCGTTTCTCTTTCAAAACGTATTACCGCATAATTAGCCCCTTTTGCAGAGCGATTATTTTTTTTACAGCTTATTGAGAGACTGATTATCGCGTTTTTTGTACAAGCTTCCTGTTATTGGATGTATATATTTGCGATTCCATAGTAACTCTCTCATTTTAATATTGAGTTTTATTATATTTGGACTACACTTACTTATTTCGTGCATTCACTAAATTCCATTATTAACATTCAACTAACAGCGGATTCAGCAGACTGCACTAATGCGCACTGAGTACCAATTTTTTCAGTGTCACACAGTGCGGCTTGTGCGCACTGTCAGATTATCATATGTCAGCAAATAAAAACTGACCCAGTGGAGTGCTGAATTTATATTTGGACCAACCAACCGAACGAGTTCAAGAAATGTTGCATTGACATTTCTGACAGTGCAATTTAGCATAGCATCAAAGGGACATCTGTACTCGCACCATGTCAGAGCAACAACACTGAGAGAAATGATTTTGTTACAAATCAAAGGAAAGCAAATGTGATATTTGTTAAAAAACTGATCGATTAGTTAAGATTGCAAAATAATTCGTCAATGTAACAAATAATTAATAGTATCTAGCAAATAAGAGGCTCATATATATATATA